TATTCGTGAAAATAATACATGAGGGTGCAAAAAGAAGCGCCCTCTTATCAATTGCATAAACACATCCTTTTGAGGCCTTTTCTGACAAATATAATTCAACAATTATGCAGGTTCAAGAACACAAATGATGGCCCTTTGTTTCAACAGTTGCATCATCATCATCATCATCATCATCATCATCATCATCCCATTTATAATGTTCCAAATTCCATTCACTAATTGAATGCTCACAGCGCTGCAGTATTATTATCCCAGTCAATGGATCAGTGTGCACCCCATTATCATTCTCAGCTTCCTGGGGAGTATACAACCCAAGCCACCTGTGACAGGTATTATTACCTGGAGAACAATACACATTAAAACAATCGAATGACATCATCAAATTTATTTATGGCTGTCCATAGAAGCCTCCAGGTAATTGGTCAGGCATGCCAAGGGTTCTGTCATAACCACCAGCACTTAACCCAGCCTCGGTTATGCAACTGGAAGCCCAACAACATCCTAAATGGTTTACAAAGGTAAAAGTCACTTTACATGAGCTTGTTAATAAAGTGTGACAGTCCAGCGCACTCCCTCTCCTTATCTGCAAGTGGCGGCCTGTTAGCATGTTGACAGTGTCCGACTGTTTCATTGTTGACCAACAAGCAAACTTTCTTAGACAATAAGTGAACGGCCGTTCTGTTTAGAAGAGAGGTGTCGCCCCACCTTGCTAATACCACGGTAACTGTTTGTCAAGGGGCACCTGCACGGCCTCTAGAGGATGTCCAACACTAAGTAATACCATTGCTTGCTTAACAAATTAATCACTTCAATGCTACATGACCTCTGGCAAGAACCACAGCAACGTAGGTCTTTAATTTTATTGCACATGATACCTGTGCCGTATCTAGGTATTCCGTTCTCACTGGATATGTTTGTGTTTAGTTTGTAGGTTTCAAAAAGTTTAATCTTTGACATTTATGCGTATAATTTATTTCCTTGACTGGTACGCTTGTTGGTGATCATAGTGTGTTCTAAATTTGTACATATGCTACTCAGCTTTTGATAGGGATCAGATTTGTTGTTCTATTTAAATAGACACTTGACATATTATGTTAATCAGTTTTCTGTATCATGACAAGATAAAAATATCCCTATCGAAAGTGGAGTGGTATACATCACTCTCCCTTGATAAGGAAAACCATAATATTTCTTAATACACCGTATAACCTACAGTGTATTTTAAGTTGTACAAAATATCTGTTAATCCCTATCGAAAGTAGTAAAAATGTTAATGTGGCATGTGTATATATATATATTTGTATATATTATTCACCATGTATGACCTGAAGAGGATTGTTTGACCTGAAAACACCCACCTTTATATGGATTAAATCTACTAAATTAAATTTTATTTTTTATTTTATCTCTGTACTACTTGAGAGTTGAATTTTATAAACTTTGTGTGTATAAATATACAAACTTATTACTTATATCAGTGATATGAAGTGGCGCAGTGCCCCCATCAAGAGCTGAGTGGTGTATATTTATCTGTTAGTTTTATATATCTAAACATTATCTTACATGCTCTCTATTTTGAGCAAGTTTTGAGTTAAACAGTATTTGAGTTATCCCATCGTTTCCAAACTATGATACTTACTTAGACGATGACTTTTTCAAAGGCAAGAGTTAATTAAGAATGACTTTTTAATATATTCTCTAATGGAAAAACACCAGCACCATGTGGTGACCAGCGACTGATTTAAGTACTGTGTCTAGTGATGACGAACATCCCCATGTTTAAGGTGATGTTCATGGTTCTTGGATGTGATTTCACAGCAAGACATATGTACATATTTTCAAGAAAATAAAAATTCTTATCCTAGAATAGACAACCTTTTTGTATATCAATATTTATATTTACAATGTTATGCAAATCGGCCATTTCTGTACTCTTGGTTGAACCTTGCGTTGGCGTATTCGGTTTTGAGAGTGTTTTGTGGTGGCCGACCCAAGCATGACAGACATGTATATACAGAGGCTCACATACATGGCTCACTGTGTGTCCACATCGTACTCCCTTCCCTAGCCTGGCCAGCATCATACCTGTCTGTGCCCACCTGTAAATCCACTGACCATGCCTGTTCGTTACAGGTAAGCATTCAGGAACGCTGGAGTGCCCACCTTTCAAGTCAGATCTCTCATCAATTGTATGAGGATTCTGTCAGTATCATGTACGAGCAATTATATTTTTCAAGCAGGCAAAAGTTTTCACAGAGTCGTCTTACGATGAAAGAAGTTTTTGTAAAAATGATAAAGGATAACTGCTGATGAAACTCTTTTGATCACTGACAGTAAAACATTGTTCATTTCATCCTCCGATGCAAGGGATGCACACAGATTATAAACAGTGATCTTTATCTTTTTCTGAATGATGGCTTGTAGCAGCATCAGCTATGAAAGTTTATTTCTTTGAGATAGTGCAGTTCTGTGGATTTTAATTCATCTTTGTACGAGAAACGGACGGGCTCACCTTTCATTCATGGATTTAATGCATAATAGATTTCAGTTTCATTGTATGCGTCCAGCCCTCATAGGGATAATACATCTTGTTTTGAAAAAAATCATGGTTTTCCATTTCACCAAAGTATATTGCATTATTAATCTGCATAATGCTTTATAAGTATAACTAAGACCTGTAATAAAATCTTATTATTATTAGATAAAGAGTTACTTTGGGATACATTTATGAGTTTTATGTATTGGAACTGCATTTTAAAAGCTGCTTTGAAAATAACATTCACTCATTAACTTTCATATTCCATGCTTTTATGTGTATGAAAATGACAGGGTATGTCTCGTAATATCAATGCAAATGTTATCTAAGACACGCTTGCACAAGACACTCTTTTATTAATACTATTTCACATGTGGATGGATACGAGCACTGATAACCTTCTTTGTCATCATGGCTGCCAGAGAAGGAGTTTAAAAGGGGAGGGGGGACATTGATGGCCCACATGTCTAAGGTGCTGCAATTTGCCATGCAGAGTTGCGTCCCTTGGGTACATAGGAAACCTGTGGTCATTGGTACACATCCCAGTTCGTCCTAATTATGTGTCTAGGTTTGTCAGCACCATGAGCATACTCTTGGGTTTCACCAAAGTGGAAAATGTCTGAGACCTGCATCACTTTGGACTTTCCTCCCACATTAAACTGACATGCCATAATATAACTGGGGGACTCGTCTAACATTGGCCTATCTTTACTCCTGGAGAAAAGGCTTAAGTTAATTGTATATGTCCAAATACAACGTTCATGAAAATATAGAAAGGTGATGCTTAACTTTCCTCCAGGGGTATATATGCAGTTAACAGAACCAGAACAGAGTCCAGTAGGGATAGTAGCTAAGTCTCAGAGCCCCGTTCCACAAACTGTATTAAGCCTATGTTAAATATGTTAAAGTGTGGGAGTTATGATTGGTTAAGTACTACAATCACTTTGTGTTAATGAACCCAGGACCCAATGCTTCTTGTAAGAGCTGACTAAATTAGAGAGGAGGTTACAATGTGCGACTGGTCTGATTGTGTTTCATCGTACCACAACAGCAAGTATCATTGCTTAGGCTTAAACCCCGTTCCTGGCCGATAGTTGATCATAAACATACTGAAATTTTGATAACTGCTGGGTAAAACAATATTCTCTCACTCACTTATAAAGTGGGTTTCAGCAGTAAAATGGACCCCAGAGCCGTTTAATCTGTGTGATTGTTGATATGGTTAATGTTTGAAACATTCTTTCTGTCAAATATGCTAGGTTTGTTAAGTAAGGACCAAAACTTAACTATATAAATTCATAAGTTTTCTTACCTGAGACTGTGTTGGTGGTAAAATACTTGAAGATTAAGGCTCTATGTTATTAGCGTCACAGCTTTATAAAACAGCCTTACTCAAACATATCATATATGAAAAGCAATTTTCACAAGTTAATGACCACATTCGAAAATTATTTATCATTATCATTATAATTCCACTATGATAGCAGCCTCTTAACATTGGGAGCTTCTCCTATTATTTCCAGCTCTTTTTTGTGGAAGGTGTCATGGTTGTTTGCAAACATGATCCCCCTTTATGTCACAGCTCTCGTAAATGCCTCTGCCCCTCCTCACGATACTATCAAATTGTTGTCCCTGGTATTTGACCGATATCTGACATACCTGCTGGTCAGTGATGAGGAAGATTGTCCTGATGTTGGTGGAACGGTTGGTCACTCTCTCTGTCCATCACCATCAGTCACCAGCCTTTGTGTATGGCAGGGATTGACTTTGACTGACTTGACTGCTTGTTCAGGCTCCATGCTTTCACTTTTAGCTCTTGCTTTTGAGAAAACTTGTTTTGTAAATGAGAGGTCCGTTTCAAATCATCAGATCTGACCGGAGAGCGGAAGGGTGTACATGGTTCCCTTCCCTGGATGGTCCAATCAAAAGATAGTAATAGATGGTAGTTCTTGTTACCCTGCCTTGTGCTTGGTGTTATGGGCATATAACAAGGACTCACAGTCGGTATACTGTGTCTGAGTGGGGTATACGTGTTAAACTGCGGCATGGTGTCTCAGTGGCATGAGACCAGACGTGTACAAGCAAAGTATGCCAGTGACATAATGGATGAAGTGATTTATAGAGGAATTAATGTCGTATTGTTTTCCATTCATGCACACATTCACACTGCACTTATATTCCCTCCAAAATGGAAGATTATTTCTAACTATGGCCCATACAACTGTAAAATATATAACCCTAAAATACACACATGACATGTAGTTCAAGGTAATCAAGGGACACAACTCTCTTCAAACAGTATATGATATTTGTATCAAAATGTTTTTTGTTCATAATTGCATAATGGGACGTCACCTACATGTTGATGTTTATAGGTGGAATACTGTTGAAATTGGCATTAACCCAAACTCACTCACTCACTCACTCACTCACTCACTCACTCACTCATGTGTTAATGTTTCAGATGAATGAGTCATCCCCCGACTGCAGCGAGTGATGTTGACTGTATGGATTACCTAAGATGAGCGGAGGGATGATGTCGGTGCTAATGTCACACCTGGGGACTTTATTGCTCTGCAGTGTTGCCATCGTCACCGCGTTTGAAAACTATGGACACATCGAACACTATGAAGTCCGGATCCCGTCCGACTTCCGATTCACAACATACGAAGGTAAGAACAATCACAAGGGTAATAGGGTGGTGGGGTAGCCTAGTGGTTACAGCGTCTGCTTAAAATTGTCACCTGGGTTCTATTCCCCACATGGATGCCTTGGTGATCCCTGGTCACTGTGATGTACATGGCTTGAATGGTGCCGAACAGCATAGCCATAATTCATGTATTCTTACAAAGTAGACAAATTTTCTCTTTGTTCATATTTCTATTACCGTATTCGACGTAATAAGCGCCCCGCTCTAATAAGCGCCCACGGGGATATTTGCTAATACATTGGCTTGTGAACAATCCCAATTAGCACCCCTTCCGATTGATCAATGTACACAAGACTTATTTAAATTAAATTCTGGAAAAATATTTCTGTCGAATATAAACATTTCAAGCTGTCAGCATAAACCATGAAATTTACGATCTTTCAACTCTGTTGTTTTTCACCAAAATAATATTCTAATAAGAGCCCCCTGTTTCTAATTTTGAGAGCACCCTGGGCGCTTATTATGTCGAATACGGTATTCTTTTGCTGCAAAAACACCAAGATAGTATTTGATGAAGGTGTTCAAAGGTCAAAGGTAAATGACTGAATGTTGCTTATTGAATTTGAACACTTTTGAATTGCAGCATATTCTAGAATAAATCAATAGCAAATGATTCTTGTGCTGATTGATAGGCTAACCAAGTCTGTCATACAGACCCTGAAACAATATATCCAATACAGCTCATGCCATCTGTAATTGAAGAGAGTCTCTGGGCACCATTTTATTATATTTCATAACTATAATTTAACAACTGTTTGTATCTGTAAGATATGTTCCTTTCAGAGACTAGATGTAAGTCTATGGCTAACCAAGCATATGCTTTTTTATGTTTATGTTCCCTAAAAAAGAAACGGACCTCGGTTTCTGATTGCCTGATAATAGAATGGGTGTTGTATTAGTTTGCTGGACTGTGTCACGTATTTTCTACTGTTGTCTATCTACATTGTGTAGGTCTGTGCAGCTGATTTACACAAAGTGTGCACACTGGTTTTATCATTTTATAACTCCATAAAGACAACAACATATTGAAGTCTATTCATATAATTTAATATGTCAACAATAAAAACTTCACAGACTGCTTATTTGATCCGTCGGTGAGGCTCGCTGACTTGGTTGATGCATGTTATTGATCCCAATTTCGTGGATCGATGCTCATGATGTCAATCACTGGATTGTCTGGTCCAGACTCGATTATTTACAGGCCGCCGTCATATAGCTGGAATACTGCTGAGTGCGGCGTTAAACAACAACAGCTTATTTAATCATTAACAGCTTAACACAAAGAACTACTTTTAACGAGTCACAGTATGGCATTTATGATACATGTATATGTATCCATTCTCTGTCAACTAATGTTTGTTTCAAGGCGTCAATAGCGGTAATCTGACCGTGGTTGCTGTTAATAACGGTGAATTGTGCGATCTTCCGATCGCTTCACACACGATTTCGCAGAAATTAATTAAAACAATATTAAGAGGAATTTTGAATAAAATTAATAAAATAAGTTACAAACGTAAGTCGAGATATACAAAGAACACTTTTTATACCCAGACAGTGTAATTACATGACTAATTTGCGTACTTCAGTATGGATTTGTTGACATGGTATTTCTGGTGTTACGTGCTCGCGGTAATGTCTTTCCATGGGGGAAAAAACATCAAAACTCATTAATTCGTGTATAATGCGCACCCCCTTCTACACAGCTGTGTTTTTCGAAAAAAAAGTGTGCACTATACTCAAGAAAATACGGTATTGACAAAATATTGAAGTCAGTTCTGAAATAATGGTTAACCCAGTCCAGCAGGGCATTGGCTATATTGTATGTTGGTTTGTGTACATAGTTAAAAAAAACTCTTGTTAAAACAAGCACTTTTAACCATGGCATTTTGCAGAGAAGTGATATGTGTGTCGACCTTGTGTCGGGGACTTCGGGGTTAGGAAATACGGTGATTATATCACAAATGCAGAACAGGAAATTTGAATAATAGTTTTGTTAAATATTTTTTCATAATCAGCTGTCCACCTTAACTGCAAATTTTAAACATTTTAATTAAGTTTCTCCCTGAAATACGTACTCCCCCAGTAAACATATTGTCTTTTCTTGTCAAACACCATGTCATTGAGTGATTGACAAAGTTGATATTTTCTTGAGTGTCAACTTTTTCAGGTCATGAGATGAGAGAAACATGTTATTTACAAACAAGGAACAAGTGTTCTTTTTATTACGTATGTTCTCACTGATCTTCACGATCTTACCCTGAAAACCATTATGTCCTTGAATCAAACTTGATTTTTGGTGAGAAAAAAAAAACAGTTGAAAGATTGTAAATTTCGTGGTTTATGCTGACAGCCTGAAATGATACAAAAGAAAAGTCTCTGCATCGTATACACAACAGATATATTTTCCAGAATATAATTGCCCATAATTAAGGGTGCATATACCACATGAGTGCATATTATTCACAAATAAATAAGTGTACATTGATCAATCAGAAGAGGTGCTAATTGGGATTGTTCACTAGCCAATATATGAGCAAATATCGCTGTGGGCGCTTATAACGTGGAGACAGGAGTTCTTTAGCTTCTTTTGAGTAGTACATATAACAGGATTTGACAATCCAATCTCGGTGACTATCACCCTCATTCCTTATACACACAACTTGTAATAGACAGATACGAGAGATATCAATGTCCATTTGGATTATTCAACCTTTAAGATGTCATAATATGTACATAACGCTGTGTCAGCATATAAATCCATCACCTGTCTTTAACACAAGTAGTTGAAGTCTATGTCAATATCACGAGCCCTGCCATTTGTCAGACACACATATATATATTCAATTAATGCTTGGAGAATTTACACTTCGAAAGCAAGACAGTAGACTGTTCATGTATCAAACTTGGTTGAACAAACTGTTACATCCTATTCATATTATGGACACACTGTTGGTAATTACTTGAGTGATTTGTACGGTAAATATTCCGGTGTGTCTACACTGTTTTGGCTATAACAGAAATATGCACACAAATTTGGTCAGCCTGAACCAACACAGGAGTGTTTCTTTGGTTAATATTGAGAGAAATATGTTGTGGATTTATCGAAATGAAGTAAATATTTCTCCGATTAGAGATCGGCTTGGAGAAGTCAGTTTGGTGTTGGTTTTTAGTAACTTTTAGAATAGAACATGATGTCCATGCTACTGACAAAATTAATACCTGATTGATGGAAGAGTAAATACAGATACAGATAACAGTGAAGAATTTGAACAGGCCATCAGGATTTTTTTAAATGTTCTGACAAATATATTGTTGAATTGTTTGAAAGGCATTTCTTAGAGGTTCATGGATAACAACTTCTTTATTATACTATTATAGTGATGTTTCGGTATAGATCTGTATACCGCTGTCAAGCAAGACTCTATATTTCGCACTGCCATGTAAACAGTTAAGCCGTCTCAAAATTCCCTGGATCATATTATTTTCCCTTCCATCCAGCCCTTTCTGTAATTCAAAAGCCCTAAATGATGCAAGTCTAGATTTTCCTCAGGTTCTGAATCTCCCATCTCACTTTGGCTCCTTTTCAATTTAAATGGAGTTACTTTTTTCCATCAAACTTATATATTTTTAGAGACTGTTAGTCTATGTAAACAGTTAACTGGAAAGGTTGCTATTTCAACTTTACAGAGAAAATATCTATGAAACCATTGTTATATGTTATACTCTTTAAAAGTGTAAATCTCTCCCCAAATGTTTTCTGAAGTCATTGATTTGTTAATAAGTTAATTTAGTGTTCATTGGTTTAAGCCTAAAAAAGATGGAAGAGTATAATATATTACATCAACTCTTTGTAAATTAACACAATTTGAAAAATAAAAATACATTCTTTAATTTTTTTTCTTTTTAGCCAGTTTTTCAAGCTATTACATGCTATATATCTCTTTACTTGTACTATTTGTGCCCTAATGCCACACTTCAAAATCCATAAAGAGATGTAGTGGTTTTCTTATCACCTCAAAAGTCTTATTCCATTCTTTCACTGCCAACAAAGTTCACTAATGGCTTGCTGCAGTTTTCCTGTTAGTGCCACCTTCTCTACTATCAATTCACAGAGTCACTATAAAATGTCAGTCTCACATAAAATAATCTCAAAGTGCTCATCACATCTTAAATGAGATTCTTGTCTCAAATACCTGCCAATGAAAACATCTGCCTGACGCTTCTACCACTACCATTAGTTGTGTTTTGTTGTAAGGGAAGCCATATGGCTCGAGGGAGTAACTGCCATATCAAACTGGTGTATTTATTTACAGTTATCTTTTAGTGAAACTGTGCATCCCTATCTATGTTGTCCTGAGCGTGACCTCTGACTGACACTAACAACCTGTCCCTAACGACTACTTCAATGCACCCTGCACACGCAGGGAACTTCTCAAAATCAAAGCTTTATATTCCAAACTTTTAAAGTTTTATGGTTGAACACAAGCAGGGAACCTCTCAAAACTAAAATGTTAAATTCCAAACTTTTTAAGTGACTGTTGATTACTGTTGTGTAACATGCAAATTACCTGCGAAAAAAGTTTAACTTATCTGAGCTCTGTGAACTTATTCTCAACATAATTCAAAGGACCAAATCAATGAACTATGGTTCATTTTAGACAAGGAATAACATGTTATGTAATTGATAAAGGAAACAGTAAATTTGAATTTTGTATTTATTAACGACTATTTGAATCTCATAGGTGAGTTAGCCTAGTGGTTAAAGCATTACCTTGTCATGCTGAAGACCTGGGTTCGATTCTGCATATGGTTTCCACCCTGCAATATGGCTTTAAAATGGTTAAAAGTGGTGTTCATATTCATAGGGTTAATGACAATCTTGAAGGTTCAAAGAAGTCCTGTTATTTCAGATATCTAATGCATGCAGACATTTTGCCTGTGTCATACAGGTGAAGTGCTCAG